AAGAAGAAGAAGAAGAATGATTTCCTCTTTTTGTTAAAAGAAAAAATCCCATAAAAGTGGGCAGTGAAAAAGGTTTTAAAACATAGAAAAAGTTAAAAATAAAAAAGAAAGAAAAAGTTAGTCACCCTAAACTAATTAAGAATAGGAAAAGTCAAAACAAGTACAAAATTCGGAGTAAAATAAGCCCTTAATTAAAAAAAAGGAAAATTAAAAAAAAAGGTGCAAAATTCACTGGAAAAAGTAAAAAAAAAAAGAAAAAGAATTGGGCTGACGGGATTCGAACCCTCGCCCTCATGCTTCGCGCGCATTATTTTTCCAAGTGTTAACCAGCACACCCACAACTGCTAGTGTTCTATGGGTGCTTATTTTTCTTTAATAACGTATTTATCATATTTTCTATATATATATACAAAAAAAAATCCAGAGTCAATGGGTGCTCAAGCACCCAAAACTGACTACGTGGGTCCGCCCCTGGTATTGACTAATGTATGTTACTCTTAGTGGGATAGCCACGTGATCCTACCAGTACATGGTGGTTGTGTATTGATACTGCACTTGCTCTTATTCTTATTGAGTACATGGCATCTTCCGACGGCTATTGACAAACCTTGTTCAGAAGATCAGTGATCGCCTATTCGAATTCAAGGGTGAGCCAGTTCTTCCGGACTGCCTTGAATTCTCTTTTTGTCTAGTCCATCATATTCGAACTTGGACTAGTTCTTTCGATGATTTTCTCGTTTAGACTTATGAATCTTGTTAGAGTTTTGGTACATTGACTTTTAGGTTCTAGGAATTGAATTACCGCATTAGTTTGGTTAGTTATTTGTTTAAACCTTGGAGTTTATGGAAACTCTATATAATTTATGCATTTAAACCTACTTCCGTATCTTTAAATGCCTTGGTTTTCATAAAATTTGTTAGTTTGGGTTGTAGTAATGGTTCTCCCACCAGAGGGTTTGTGTAGGTTCCAATCATGACGGTCTGACTCGTGACAAAGTTAGTATCAGAGCCCTAGGTTCGTTGATCTCATTGTACCAAAACTAGTCTAGTAGAGTCATGCGGAACGGTACGAAGACGTCCGTACTTTTCTTTGAGAGGCTATAGGACTTTAGGAAAAACTTACTTCTTTCTACTCCTTCGTGCTATGACTTGAATACAATTGGTATCTAGGTGATACAAATTGGTGTCTTTCCTCATTCACTCTATGATCTGTGCTAGAGCAATAACAGCGGTAACACCATCACTAGCAAGAGAGGATGTGTATAGACTACTGACAGTTGAATAAGGTCATCATTCGGAACAAGTATCCACTGCGTCGGATAAATGATCTTTTTGATTAGTTGCAAGGTGCACCGGTTTTCTCTAAGATTGATTTACGATCTGGTTACCATCAATTAAGGATTGAGGCAGTTAAGAATTGAGTTCGACCAAGTTCTATGATTGAAATTAGCTATTTTGAGGGGCTCACTAGCTTCTATTGTCGCTTGTGGTTTGAGTTGAGTCCAATTGGTATCTCCCGATTTCAATTGGTATCTCAACGAAGTGAACTAGACGTCGTGGTCACGACTGAGGGGCCACAAGCAAAGCAAATTGGAAACTGAGAGGCGATGTGAATGCACGGATGATCAGGAATGGTCATCCATGGAGCGAAATAATTAATTAATAATTTGGACTTATCTGTAAATTGTATCTTGGAAACTTTGAATGCATGCTTCTGGTTGTCTGAATTAACTGCGAATGTGAAGTTGTAATTGCCTGAATATGATGAGGTGATTATGTGCACAATAAATGTGTGTCTGAACTTTGATATGTACAATATGTTGCCTGGTCGTTGAAGTTATGCAAGTTGCAAATACTTGAGTATCGTGAAATTCGTTGTGAAAGGAAGATCTTGACTAAGGATCATGTGAGTGTCTGGGTGTATCTTGGGGATGTGTAGGTTATGGTGCTGAATTGACAAGAATGAATTGGTTCATGTATCGTGGGATTTACTGGGGGTACACAATGATTATCCTAGTTATGAGGATTATTCTAAATTGCTAAGTAAAGCTGGGAACCTTTGGGGAAAGTTGGGAAAGAAAAGAACCCAGAAAAATTGTTGGCAGGGATTCTATTTCTGTTATGACCATTGGGGCGGGATTCTTCCCGCCAAGGCAAGGCCGCCAGTGCGGAAATTTTCCCGCCAGAGCGGGATGAGGTGGTCACTAGTGCTGCTCTTGTCTGTGCCCGGATGACTAATGTTTTGTGTGATCTGGATTATACTTATTCGTACGTGTTAGTTCAATTGCCTTGGGATTTGATGTGGTTTGTTGATATACTTGATGCCTTCATCCATGTTTCTACCCCAGTTGAAGAGTCAGTCATAGTCACCCATGTGTATCGTATTGTCCTGTTGTGGTTATGAATTTTCAGATTTGGGTTGATTTGGTTATGCTAGATATGACTGACTTGATATAATCTTAGGCATGACTTGGTTTTCCCCCTATTATACCGAGCTTAATTGTAATACTAAGTCGGTAACTCTAGAGATCCCCGGTAGGGAAAGATTAGAGTGGGAAGGGGTGTACAAGCCTAAGCTAGCTAAGATCATATCCTCCATTCGGGATAGGAAACTGGTGGGGAATGATTGTTGGATTATTGGCTCATGTTCGGGATGTTGAGGTTGAATCCCCCTCTATTGAGTCTATTACGGTGGTGTCAGAATTGAGAGAGCTTAAAGCTCAAATCCAAGGGATTCTTGATAAAGGATTCATCCGTCCTAGTGCTTCCCCGTTCGGTGCTCCTGTCTTGTTTGTTAAGAAGGATGGTAGTATGATGGTTGATGATTGTATCTTAACCCATAAGAGAGTGGATTAATACCAGAATGACAAGCTTACGGATAAAGAAAGTTCCATTGAGTATATCTGGGTGAAGGAAATTGAAGATTTTAGTAAGAAAGTGCGTACCAAGATTGGGTTAGTCCTTTAAATTTGATGAGTATACGTGAGTTTTAGGTGTCATGTTGATGAAAAGGTTGACTTCATAGTGATAGTCAGGGCTAAGGGAGCGTAATGGTAATAGGAGTTTGCGATGAATTGTGATGGGATAAAACTATATAATGAGATTGTTGTTTAAGTGAATTTTGTATAGTAATTACGACTTGCGAGTATCTAAGGTTGTGGTTTTCTAATATTTGGTGAGTAACGTGGTTGTATGGAAAGTTTTAAGAGATGGTGGGACACCATTCGAATAGAAATCAAAGAGCTAGAGTCATAATGAAGAAAAATAGTGAGATGTAGTACAACCTTTAGAGAAAGGTGAGAGCAAGAATAATTTATTTGATTGCAAAGGCTAAAGAAATATTTTCAGAGGGGTAGATAATTGGGTTTTGAGATGCGTGATTTCATTCGTTTTGTTGTGGCTATGGTAATAGTGTTACAAGTCTGTTAGATTGGTTAAAAACTATTGGAAAAGACTTGAGAAAAGAGTGTGCGGACATTAGCTTTAGTGTAATGACAAGTGCTTGGTTTTGTTTTTGAGTCTAGTAATGAGTATGATTGAAATTTTAGCGAAATATATGGTAAGATCAATGGAGATGCGATCAATGATAAATGGAGATCCATGAATTCATAAAAATCTTCAAGGTACAAGCTAATGTTGATAGAGAAAGAGATTGTGTTATATGGTGGAAATTACAATTCAGATTTTTCATTGTGAGTCTACATTCGTGGTGATGTATTTTGTCAAGGTATGAATTGGCAAGGTGAGAAATGATCAATTGTATCCGGTGTTGAGCATTTGAAAGGACTTACACCTAGGTTGAGTCGTAAAGTTTATTACTATTGATTGTTAAGTACCTAAGAAAGGTTTCCATGTAAAAGTGTTGGTTTAGAGTGAGATTAATAGTCAGAGTGTTAATGATGGTTGTTAGTATTGTGCGTATGATTCACTAGCTATGCTCTCGTGTGTTTTCACTTTTGTGGGTGGATCCTTAGTGGTGTATTAGGGGTACCAAATCCTGCGATGTTCTCTTGGTTGAGTGGGAAGATTGGGAAGATTTGGTTATTTCGAATGACATAATTAGTGTTGTCTTGGAGTTGTTAAAGTATTTTAGTGGGTCTACATGTACCACCTTGCTTATGAGAATTTATAGAAGAGCTACCATGCGTATTTGTGGTTATCGACAATCTTAATATTTCTCTAGTCGTCGAGGTCATGTACCATTTATTTGTGGTTGGATGTGGGGATCTTTGGGTCAAATTCTACTGTTCTTAAGAAGTAATCTACAATTACTAAATCTAGCATTTCGATAGTGTTGTTGGAGGGGTTGTATGCTTGGACATATCCTTCGATGAGTATATAATTTCTAAAGATCAATTTTTTTATAACTTAAGCTCATGGAAAATTATGTTGTGTGATGGAGATATTGTTAAGAACTATGATTGTTTGGGTTTTATGAGTGTGTGTTGG